TGTTCATCCACACACTCTTCTGTTCATCCACACACTCTTCTGTTCATCCACACACTCCTCTGTTCATCCACACACTCTTCTGTTCATCCACACACTCCTCTGTTCATCCACTCTCTCCTCTGTTCATCCACACACTCCTCTGTTCATCCACACACTCTTCTGTTCATCCACACACTCCTCTGTTCATCCACACACTCCTCTGTTCATCCACACACTCCTCTGTTCATCCACACACTCCTCTGTTCATCCACACACTCCTCTGTTCATCCACACACTCCTCTGTTCATCCACACTCCTCTGTTCATCCACACACTCCTCTGTTCATCCACACACTCCTCTGTTCATCCACACTCCTCTGTTCATCCACTCACTCCTCTGTTCATCCACACACTCTTCTGTTCATCCACACACTCCTCTGTTCATCCACACACTCCTCTGTTCATCCACACACTCTTCTGTTCATCCACACACTCTTCTGTTCATCCACTCACTCCTCTGTTCATCCACACACTCCTCTGTTCATCCACACACTCTTCTGTTCATCCACACACTCCTCTGTTCATCCACACACTCCTCTGTTCATCCACACACTCCTCTGTTCATCCACACACTCCTCTGTTCATCCACACACTCTTCTGTTCATCCACACACTCCTCTGTTCATCCACACACTCTTCTGTTCATCCACTCACTCCTCTGTTCATCCACACACTCCTCTGTTCATCCACACACTCTTCTGTTCATCCACACACTCTTCTGTTCATCCACACACTCTTCTGTTCATCCACACACTCCTCTGTTCATCCACACACTCTTCTGTTCATCCACACACTCCTCTGTTCATCCACACACTCTTCTGTTCATCCACACACTCTTCTGTTCATCCACTCACTCCTCTGTTCATCCACACACTCCTCTGTTCATCCACTCACTCCTCTGTTCATCCACACACTCCTCTGTTCATCCACACTCTCCTCTGTTCATCCACACACTCTTCTGTTCATCCACACACTCTTCTGTTCATCCACACTCTCCTCTGTTCATCCACACACTCCTCTGTTCATCCACTCACTCCTCTGTTCATCCACACACTCTTCTGTTCATCCACACACTCCTCTGTTCATCCACTCACTCCTCTGTTCATCCACACACTCCTCTGTTCATCCACACACTCTTCTGTTCATCCACACACTCCTCTGTTCATCCACACACTCTTCTGTTCATCCACACTCTCCTCTGTTCATCCACACACTCTTCTGTTCATCCACACACTCCTCTGTTCATCCACACACTCTTCTGTTCATCCACACTCTCCTCTGTTCATCCACACACTCTTCTGTTCATCCACACTCTCCTCTGTTCATCCACACACTCTTCTGTTCATCCACACACTCCTCTGTTCATCCACACACTCCTCTGTTCATCCACACACTCCTCTGTTCATCCACACACTCCTCTGTTCATCCACACACTCCTCTGTTCATCCACTCTCTCCTCTGTTCATCCACACACTCCTCTGTTCATACACACACTCCTCTGTTCATCCACACACTCCTCTGTTCATCCACACACTCCTCTGTACATCCACACTCCTCTGTACATACACTCTCTCCTCTGTTCATACACACACTCCTCTGTTCATCCACTCTCTCCTCTG